ATCAGAAACAAATGGATTTCTCCATAGTGTTGAAATATTGATATTGTGCCATTGTTTGTTGACAAGAATACAAGAATGTAATGTTTTATAATCATCTTTAATGTATTTGAATATTTTAATCAGAAGTTCGGGTGGCAAATTAAACATTTTTTTTTTTTTTAGGTAAAAAAATAATTATTGTCTGTTGTACCACCAACCAACCAATTAAATCAAAAAGTAAAACTTCCTATATTTGATATACCCAAAATGACAAAAACTGCTGAAAATAGCAAAAATGATGAAAATGACAGAACTGCCAAAACTGCCAAACCGCCAAAATGCCAAAACTACAGTTTCTATTTGAAATATTTGTTTTATTTGTTATGAAAATTTATAAAATGAATAAAGCAAATAAAACAAATATAACAAATAAAATGAGTAATTCAATGATTTGATAAAACAAATAAAACAAGTAATTCAAATAATTTGAATAAAACAAATAAATGAGCAATTCAAATGATTTGAATAAAACAAATAAACAAGTAATTCAAATGATTTGAATAAAACAAATAAAATGAGGAATTCAAATAAAACAAATAAAGTGAATAATCACAAATAATAAAAATTTGTATTACGAATAGAAACTCTAGACAAAATAATAAATTTGATTAATTTAGTTGACTATTTATTTGAATATTAATATCAATATGGTGAAATTATATTAAAATCTTCCTAGCAGTTATACCAAAAGTCAGCTATAGGCAGTTTATAGTAGGATTTTGCATCCTGGTGCTGTATCAGCAGCAATTTATCAAACTTGTGTCTAACTAGCTAATAATTTATATATGAGGAATTAATAAAATAATGAAATGATTAAATAGTAAATATATGTATAGGAAGAGTTATTTTTGTGTGGAAGATACAGTAAGATAATTTATTATGGAAGATATTACATTTGAGCTCTTTTCATAAGAAATATTAATTAGTAAACTGTGTAATTTACATTTTACAGAAACTACATCTTGTCATTAATGCCAAATTTAATGCTAACCACAAATAATCTTAAACTGCTCTTTACTATATAAATATAATAATAAATAATGATATGAAATCTTCCTACTGGTAATAATAATTTAATATTGTCAACTAATTTAAAAATCCTAAATCTTGATATTTTTTTAATATTATCTTTAATACATCACCATCACTATGAAATTTCATTGTTAAAGGTTTAGGTCCTCTCCAATTCTTCATTAATATATCTAACAAATAGCTATTAAGATTAAAAGCCACACAAGTACAAATTATTGATCCTAATTTTTTTGGTAGTGTTTGATTTAATACTGTTAATATTTTATTACCATTAAATCCATAAAATCTACCTCTACTTGAGTAAAGATCAATGAAAGTGTTAGTAAGTATAATACTTTTTAACTTTGTACAACGATTGAGTACTTCCATTAATGCCTGATCTAATTCATCTCTATAAGCTATTGATAAATTTTCTAAATTTTTACAAGATTGTGCAATTGATTGATATAGCTTTCTCAGAAATTTGCTATCTGCAGCACCATGATAACTTTTATAATTAACGTACAGACTTTTAAGAGTTTTTCCATTGATAATAATAAAATCAGACAAGTTTGATAGTAATGGTTGATATACAACTCTTACATTTACAGATTTAATACTTGTCAATATTAATCAATCAATCTTAAATGTTTAATTGCAAAAAATTTACCAATTTATTTTCTTCTTGCATGTCTTTGTTTAGACCTTCTTGATGATGGTTCAAGACAGACTATGATGTTTTCAGCCACTTTTCCATCAAATATTCAAAGTCTTGCAAAGGATTTTTTGAAAAATGATTACTTGTTCCTTACAGTTGGTAGACTTGGTGGAACAACAAGTGATATTACTCAAAAGGCAAATAAATAAATTATTATTATTAATTGTTATTATATTAGTTTTAATATTATTCAAAATTAAATTTCTTCCTCTTCCAAAATTAATAAAAATAATAGATAGTGTATGTTGATGATAAGGATAAACGTGCAAAACTTGTTGAGCTACTTATGAAACAACCACCATCTCGTACTCTGATCTTTGTTGAAACAAAACGTGGTGCAGATTCACTTGATGATTACTTGTATCATAAAAATTTTCCTACAACTAGTATTCATGGTGATAGATCACAACGCGAGAGAGAAGATGCTTTAATATCATTCAAGTAAGTATCTAAATAATTGTTTTCTTCTTATTTTGATTATAACAATATATTTAATGCTAAATATAATAGAAATGGCCGATCACCTATTTTAATTGCTACGGCTGTTGCTGCACGTGGTCTTGACATAAAAAATGTAATGCATGTCATAAATTATGATCTATGTAAAGATATTGATGAATATGTTCACCGAATCGGAAGGTTTGTGTTTGTCGATTTTATTCATAAATAAATTTATAAATGTTATTAAATTTTTTTCACCTCTCAACTAAATAGGACTGCACGTGTTGGTAATGAAGGATTGGCAACAACTTTTTACAATGAAAAAAATTCTGATGTTGCTAGTGATTTAGTTAAATTATTGTTGGAATGTAAACAAGAAGTTCCTAGTTTTTTAAAATCATACTTGCCTGATAATAAGTAAGCATTTAAAATATAATTATGTAAATAAGTAATCTTCTTTTTTATTATCCCACAGCAACTCCTGACATATTTATATAATAATAATATAGTAATTTTGGTGATGATGCAGATTTTGATAATAAAAGAGGCGGAGGAAGTAGTGACTACAGAAATCAAAATAACAAATATGCTAATAATGATTCATCAGGAGGTGTAACATCAAGTAACTGGGATGCTCATAACAACAATAACACTAGTAACATATGGGATAATACACAACAAAAAGACATAATAAATGACACATCAGCATCAACAGCATGGGATCCTAGTAAAACTCCATGGGATGGTGGTAATACTACCATTCAAACTCAGCAACAATTTCCTCCATCATCATTACCACAACAACCTTCTCATCAAGCACCATTGCCACCACTAACACAACAACAATATCAACATCCACCACAATATCAGCACTCATCACAAGTTAGTAATGATAATTGGTCAACAACTCCTCCTCCTCCTACTACTACTACTGCAACTCCAATTCCTCAACAACCAGCATTTCAACAGCAACCAACATTTCAACAACAACTTCCTCCTCCTAACCTTCAGTCTTTTCCTCCACAATCTTTTCCTCCACAACAACAAAATCCTTTACAACCACCACCACAACCTCAATATATTCATTCACAATTTACTCCTCAACCTCCATATAGTAGTCCGCAACCATTACAACCACAACAACCTGTTATTCAACAATATGGCAGCAGTGCACCACCACCTCAACCATCATTGATTGGTCAACAACCTAATCCTAATAATAATTATAACCAAATTCCTCCTCCACAACACCAAAACTATGGTTATAATTCACAATCTATACCACCACAACCACAAACCCATTCTTATCAACAAATGTCACAACCACAACAATTATCACAACAATTACCACAACAATTACCACAACAATTACCACAACAATTACCACAACCACCACAACCATTTGGTAATTATGGTGCTAGTCCTTCTAATAATAATTATAATTATTGAGACAGTTGAAAAAAAAACCAAATAGATTAAAAAAATAATAATTATTATTATTGTTATTATAGTTGTGAATTTTTTTGTTAATGATTATTTGGATATTTTATATACATGTTATACATATACACATATTTTATTTTATTATTATTATTAATAGTAGTAGTATTATTGTGACATTTATATTCTTAAATTATTATTATTATTATCTAAAATTTATCAATATTTATTACTATTAGTATGTTATCTATCCTCCCTTTTTTATTATTTTTTTTCTAATTTACATATTGGCAACAAATTATTTTTTAAAAAAATATAAATAAAAACATAAATTTATATTTGATAACTTTGACCAAGTGGTTAAATTAATTCTTTTAAATATCTTTCATTATATATATATGAATAATTGCTGCTAATATTACGTTACCCGAGTAACTGGATCAGAGCTCAGCCCCATACAGCTAGCTGATGGCCGTGTATTGCTACATTGGTTGGCTAACCATAGCTAAAAAAAAAGCAACCCGACTACACTATACCATAACTATGGGCAGACAGATCGTTACTTCCACCTCTAGCAAAAGATTCTGGATGGTCTTATCCATGCCCATTCAAGTATAAAAGGCCATTACGAAATGTTTCTAGCAGCGATTATGACACGGTTCCAAGTATCTAGCAAAGAACACGCGATAAGCAATCAACAAAACAAAAAAAAAAAGAACATTTTTACCAACGAGCATATATATATGTCTGCATGTTTTGAGCTACCAACTCGTGGTGCCATTTCCTAACTACCCATTACATTTGGAGCACACTATGCTTGTTTGAAATTCGTCATATTTTCTGATTCAACAAACATTCAGCAGCCTCTGATACAATTCCTTTATTGGCCCTAGTGCATGGCTTCAATTGAAAGAGTAAAGTTTAAAATAAATTAGATTTGGATATATAATTGGATGTGATTAAAATGAGTGGACGTAATATGTTAATGTGATTAAAATGTTTGATAATGATTTAATAAAGTATAATGATAAATATTTAGTTATATGGTAAAATAACGTTCTTTAAAACTTGTGAAATAAAATATTAAAATGATGATGAATACAAATAAATCAGTGAAGTTATATATATATATATATATATATTATAATATATATAGTATAAACATTCTCATTAAGAGAAGGTATTAATCATAGAAATCTCTTCTCATATATAGTAGAGAAGGTAATCATCAAAAAAATGACGTTATTAAAAAGATCATTAAACATGTTAACATGTTGTAAAGATATAAAAAAAGGAAAAATAGTATAGATTCATTATTATTAAACAATATTAAACAATGAAACCTACCTTTTTAACTGTATAATTATTATTATACGATGTTTCCATTTCTTACTTGCCCTTGTAAATTCAGTCATTGCATACCATTCTTTTTGTATTACATTTTCATCAAGATTCCTTTTTTCATCCCCAAATATACCACCAGCTTTGTCCCTTCCAGGATCAACCCATAAATCGATCAACCAGTTGAATGTACAAAGACCATGATTATCAAACATATAATCACTTACTCCGTATGATGCATTCATTCATTGGATTTGTGAGTATAACGCTAACACTATTAAATCCATCCGCCATCAAACTTTATAAAATTCAATGTTGGGATTGTATTACGTGTCGAAAATTATCCAATCAAATTAGTATTTTCTGCAGATGGTCTCTAAATTTGTATATACTGCTCTCAAAAATCATTTATTAACGCGTGGTCCAAACTAGTAAAAGTTAATTACTCGCATAAATTATGGAGACTATGTGCTCCAATGTGAATAAACCTTGATGAAATCCAGCAAGTAGCACACAAGTGTGTAAGGTCGCAACTCGCATCTTTTTTTCCGTGTCTCCTTCCCTTACTTGCGTATCCACTACGTGGTTTTTCACAAACATCTTTAAAATCTTATATACAATAAAAGAAGATAGTATTTTCATCAGTAATTTTTTACAGCATTATTAGTCATCAAAAATCATATCTCGGAGCTTACTATCAATGTGCTGTTCACAAAGTTCCGTGACTATAACCTGACAATTGATAGCGTATTCAAGTGCAGCTGAGGAAATGATGTTGGCAAGAAAACCAATGATGATGCTTGAAAGAAAGTTAGTAAAACAAAATAAAAGAAAAAATTTGCATAACCTAGGATAATTCATGTGGCCATCAAGACATATAAAAATGTGAATAAATTAGACGCTTTTGAAGAAATCCAGGCAGGCTGTCTTCATAATGGCAGCCTGCTGTAAAAACCTTCCAAGTAAAATGTTTGTAACCAAGGCGGTGGATTGGTATTTAATTCTCACAACAAATGTTTGTGTAAGTCGTGTTGCTTATAAGTCATTCTCTCTGCGACATTCTCAATAATAGGACCAAGAGCAGAAATTCCACATATCTTTGCATTGGTAGTTGGTTGCAATTTTATCATTTACTTGGTTTATGCCCTAGGAATTGCTTAGATATTGATCGTAAATATCCTACCTGGCAACATGCTTGATTTATTGTTGCCTATGCAATGAATCTATGCTAATACCGAAGAAAATCTATTTTTTAAAATTTGATATTTTAAATTTTCAATATTATTATTTTTTTTTTGATGCTTTACATTGAGATGAAACAAAGACTTGGAAATAGCTTCAATCAACAATACATTGATCACCCTCTACATCCTTTTATAAAAAATAAACACAAATTCACAAGCTATAATTAAATGGTAAACACAACCAACCTATCATCTTGTTAAACAAATTCCATCATTTACTAATATAGAATTTTGTTTAAATTTCACAATTTTATCATAATAAATAAACATATTCATATTTCCAATTAATATGTTTTAAATAAAGCTCTGAACAGTTCAGTTCGGTTTACATTTGACTCGAAAATTTTAGACATTCTAAACTCATTAACTACACAAAAATATACACCACTTCGTAAATAACTTGTAGCTCAGTTTGGCAAATGTATGTTGCGAAATAGAGATTCTGGAAGGATCCTGTTTCTAACTACATACATAGTATGTAATTTTTATACATAATAGCAAAGGTCCAAATTAGAATGAAGATCATGATTGAATACATTTTAGTATTGGTATTAGAGTCTCTATTTGAATTATTTCGTAATACAACTCAATCTTAGTATTAATTCTAACTATTCGTTTTATTCGCTTTATTCAAAATTCATTTTGTTTGAGATATTCATTTTTATTTGAATTATTCGTTTTATAAACTTTCAATGTAATTTGAATATTCAAATTCATAATGAATAAAACAAACAATTAGAATAAATCTTATTTGAATAGAAACTCTAATGATGTTCTATTTTTTTTTCAATTCAAATTTACTTAAATCTAATGTATCTGTAGTTTCTTTTGTGTGAAGATTGAAATAATGATGTCCCCATATGTTTCAAGGAAGCTGATGGCTAATTTGTAATTCGTGTAAATGGAAAGGATCCGGTATACATTAATATTAATATTAATACTATTAATATAGTAAATGCAGGAATAATAATAAGAAAATTAATTAACCTGAATCAGTTTTTAGTTATCCTACTTTAATTGTGAAATCTTATTCCAGTAAATGAGATAAAGCCACATTCACATTATGGGATAAATGCAAGAGAATGGAGAGTAAAAGTGAAGTATAACTAAATTGATTTACTACCTATTGAAGTTTTGAAGTATTGTAATTAGTAAACTATCATATGTTTTGCTTTAGTATTATTGTATTTAAAAAATATAATAGTTTATCAAAAGATAATATGACAATTGATTTATAATGAGTAGACATGATTTTATGAATTATAGAGCGATCCCAAGATACAAGCTCATTATTGGGAATATGGAGTCACGAACACACAATTAAACAAACCCTTGCTAGATACAGTGTATTACAAAGATGTCAAATTAAACAAGAATATTCAAAATGGACACCAAAGCTATTTTGAATATGCGAATGTGAATAAATTGCCCTCAGCAGAAAACGCCTGATGGGTATATTTGATAACCAGCTAATTTATCTACATGAGCATCAGAAATTGTACTCAATTTCTTCCTGGACTAATCCATGATATAATGAGAAGTTCTCCACTATACTAAAGCTGCAATACTCTGATTTTATTAGTATATAAATCTTCATCTATAATTTGCTTTTTTTGCTGAAAAGCTCTTAGATTTCTTTCTATAAATCTTCAATTCAGATGCTTCACTGCCATCAACCTATTTTTTTTTTTATATTAAATGCAAGAATTGATAATAAAGTTTAGCACACTCTTAAAACTGTGAGGTCTATTTTTTTGTGGAGGTTAAGAGCTCTTATGATTTGATGACTAATGGAACATATGACTAACAAGTAAAATTATAATTCATAACCATTATTAAGTGTGTGCCTACATTGGTTGTTATAATAAGTTTATTAGATTAGAAATTAATAAATTTAATTCTAAATAAGCAGAGTGTAAAATTAGAACATCAGAGGCCGCCAAGTAGTTTTTAGCCTAAAGCTCTGAACTGTTCAGAGCTTTGGTTTTAGATAATTGATGGTTAAGAAAATTTCTTTTAAATAATATTATTCAAAATTATTATGCTAGACCTGAATTAAACATTTCTATTTGAAAGATTAGAGTTTAAGTTTAAACCATATTCATTGCAGAATATCTTGCTGCTTGAAGTGTCATGATCAGAAAAATTGATATTAAAAATTTTGAGGTAGGTGTTTGGATATGAAATTCTGTTTGGCTAATTTGACTTTCATGTATGTGTTAAGAAGAATTACTTTTGTTTCTAAGGATGGACGTTTTGAGAAAACATTGCTTTTAGTAATGAAAATAAAAACTCAAAGTAGGGAGAGGAAAAAAGATTTCTCCGACTCTCCATATCCTTGAATCGCAAAACTTTATTTTATTTTAGCGACAAGACATGGCTAGTTGATAACAGTAATAGTGTTGTTCTGCATCTCTCATAAATAATTTGGGCCTTGCCTTACAATCAATTGTGAATGGGTTTTCTCTTACGCCACGGAGTAAAATAATATCAAGACTTTGAGAATATATGGAATATGTAAAGAGTTTATCTAGTACTAGTATTAGATTTAATAATAACGAAAAATTAATTTTTAAATATGGGAAAATGCATTGTTTTAGGAAAATCGTACATCTTCAATAGAATAATAACAGACAATGTGCAAGGAAATTAATACATTTTAATTCCTTTAATCGAATTAATCAATTATTCCTACTTTTATATATGTAATTATTTTATTATTTGATTAATTTCTTGTATAAATTATTAATATTAACAATAAATTCAAAATTGTTTTAATTGGTTAATCAATTCATTTATATTGTACAACAAACAATAATTTTTTTACCTAAAAAAAAAAAAAATGTTTAATTTTCCACCCGAACTTCTAACTGAAATATTCAAATACATTCAAGGTGACTATAAAACATTATATTCTTGTATTCTTGTCAACAAACAATGGCACAATATCAATATTTCATCTTTATGGGAAGATCCGTTTGTTTGTGAAGACAGTGTCAAAATAATAATTAATTGTTTATTGGAAGAAGATAAGAATTTTTTGACTAGAAATTGCATTGAATTAACTTTTGAACCATTGGATAAACCACCATTATATAATTATGCCAGATTTAGTACTATAATTTACAATTATTATGATTTTCAATGCCTGATAAAAATTGGTGCATCACAAATTTTACGAATTAAATTAGTAGAATTTATTCTAGATCATTCAGCAGGTATTACAGTATTTACTGCTATTAATTATATAGATTGGAATTTGTTAATTGATCATCATAGATTTGATAATATCTTTCAGAATCTTTATGAATTGGAATGTTTTAGTTCTGATAGCTGTGAATTTTTTGATAAATTAATAAATGTTTGTAAGAATATTCAATCATTAAAAATATATTATTATAGTAATGATAAAAACATATATAAATTGGCACAGCTAATTAAAGCACAAAAGCAAATCAAATCTTTACTTATTGATACAGACAATGAACAAATTTTACCAGATGAATTAAAAGAAGCAATATCAACACATTCACAATCAATAACTTCTTATGATTCTCATTGTGAAGAAAGTAATTTTGATAATTTATTAATTCAAACATTTAAAAATTTAAAAACTTTATCATTAACAATTGTTCAATTAAATAATTTGAAAAATATTTCACTGCCAAATATTGAATCTATGAGGATATATGATGCATATCAACCATTACTACCAGACTTGTCTGATTTTATCAATATCAATGGAAAAACTCTTAAAAATCTAGATGTTGTTAATAGTATATATATTAACACTGCAGATAGCAAATTTGTGAGGAAGTTATTTCAATCAATTGCACAATCTTGTAAAAATTTAGAAAATTTATCAATAATTTATAAAGATGAATTAGACCAGGAATTAATGGAAGTGCTCAATAGCTGTACAAATTTAAAAAGTATTACACTTGGTGATGCTTTGGAATATTCTTATATGGATGAAGCTGTATTTTATGGATTTGATGGTGATAAAATATTAACAGTATTAAATCAAACACTACCAAAAAAATTAGGATC